TTTTTTTTTAAGGTAATGTATCAGGATAGGCCAAATCCTATGCTCTTACCATCAAGTACCGTATGCTCCACTCCTTACACACTACCAGGCCCACCCTTCTATTTTCCCACAACTTCAAGAGAATTTGAGTTTCAAGGGCACAGATTTGAACTCTATCCTAGCTGCTGCTAGTTCACAGCAGACATTTCTTCTCTATAGTGTGCTCATGTGTATGGGTGAAAAAAGATCATTTTACAGCTCTAGGAAAGAACAGTCCATGCTTCCAAAACAGTTCAGTTTGCTTTTTAGTAACATTTTCAAAGTGGAGGTGTTTACAACTGCCACACTATTCTCAAAAACAATTACCCAGTGTGATTCAGTCTGACAGAACTGGGACAGGACTGCAGTGCCAAGGAGCACCCAGCAGAAAGAGCAGGAGGGCAGCCAAGAAGCAAACAGGTGTACTGGGTCTGTCTCTCTCCTGCACAGGCGCACTTGCAGGGTATCCAGGTGCAGTTCCCTCTGGTTGGCCTCTAGGCAGGGCTCCAGAGTCAGGTACTTTTCTAGCTCTGCCTACAGTTTTTCATATGCCCCTGACCTTCTTTAAGTCCTTTGATCTTCCTTCAGCTAATCACAGTTATATATTTTAAGGACCAGGATGAATTTACCTAAGTGGTACAACATGCCCCAATACTCCAAGTTGCTTGAAGGAATCTACTATGTGAATTTGTTCTTAGTAGGAGAGCCATTAGCAACTATGTGTTAAGAAGCGTGTATACATTCAGTTGCATCAGAAGAAATGTCAGCAGCTGGCGTGCATATGCACTGATGCTGAGATACCAGCTTAGAAAAATGAAAGACCTTTCTTCTTACACACTGACTTATGCTAGTTACATATTCATATAATGGTAGTTACAAAGTTGGATTTAAAGGAATGCCAGTAAAATAACAATGAGAATTTTTTAAAAAACTTCTGAGTGTGTTCTTCAGTGATGATTCTACAATTCTAATTCTGAAGTTTCATGTAACTGCATACAATATAAATAAAATTTGGATACTAGAAACTAACATAGATAAAACCGACATTTCATGTTGCCCATTAATGTGTAATTCCCAGCATCTTTCACATTCTCCTCCAAGTTCTGAATAAAGTAGAGTTTACAAGACTCTGGTCAGGGCTATTTATGCAGGAATAAAGAGCAAAGGACTTCTCCCTAACATGCAAGAGCAATTCAAATATACAACTAGGATGTAGAAGTATTTAAAGTCAAGCAAAACAAAACCAGAAGCAAGTGACTGCCTGCTTTAAAGCATGATACTTAAACTCCTTCTTGCATTATTAATAACAGTCTTCAGAAACTAGAAAGAACTGTGGTGTTACTTCACCCCAGGGGCCTCTAAAGCACTGCCCATACCTAATCAATTGCAGGCTGCTCTGCTCTGGCTTCAGCTATATGTGACAGTATTATGAGCCCTCAGTAATGTCTGCATGGGGACACTGGGGCTCCAGACCTCAAGCCCAGACTTGTGCCTTGTTCTTTTTAACTTTTTAAAAATTTCGCATTCAGCCTCACTCCCAGAACATCTGAGATGAGTTCTGGGTTGTGGAGCCTGGTTACAACAGCATCACTCTATTTCAAGAAGGCTCTGCAGTATCAGCCACTCCTCAAGGACATTGAACAACTACTGGACCCAAGAAAGAACAGTTGTTCCTTTCATAGGTGGGCAGTGCCCCCTGATTATCAGGTACAGATTAGTTATAAGCTAACACCGTTTACTCCAAGAATGTTAGTCTTGGTTGTTTTACCGGACTTGAGGCCGAAACAGCTTTGGGTTCACATTTGTTTTCCGCACCTAGTACAGGAGCAGGCCACAGTGGGGGCTGGACCCATTTGTTAAATAAGTGAATTGAGTCTAAAGGGGCAACTGCTTGCTTTCTGGTGCAGCAACAGAATGAGCCTGGCATAGAGGGAAGTCTAAGGCCACGGAAGCCACGGCTGCGGTTTCCAGAGGGCAGGAATTCTGCATCCAGACTGCAACAGAAAAGCCTGCCTGAAGTTTCCCGCCTGCCAGTTGGTTGCCTTGCAGACTCTTACCTCAGTTTCCAGCCCACCGGCCTGCCGTACACATTGCAAACTTGCCAGGTCCCACAATCACAGGAGCAAGTCTTCAAAATAAATCTCTTTCTCTCTACAGATATATCCCATCAGCTGGTTTCCCTAAAGAGGCCTAAGGCTGGAACACCAAACAGATGTGCTCCCAGGCTTAGGGATTTGGTGATGGAGTTAGATGGAAGCTCAGGGTGTAGTCCTGTGATTTACCTCGGAGAAGGCGCCTGCTACGTGCACGGGCCCTGACCTGAAGGTTGGATGTGCCAATAGGTGGGAGGTCTGAACTCACTGTTCCTACAAGAGTAATTTCTGGACAGCGGTCAAGCTCTGCCGAGAGCCCACATCATCCACTTAGTCCCTGACGAACTGAAAGGATCACCACTGGGACTTGCCTCTACAGCTGACATGCCTGCCTGCCTCGTTCCCCTGTTCCTCTCCCATAATTCTGCGCATTACGGGGGCAGCAGACTTTCATGGGCTGGGCGGGGAGCCACTCAGCGCAGAACAGCTTCCACAGGAGGGGAATTCTGAGACATGGGCGGCCCCGAAGGCTACTGCTGGCAGCCCCGCAGGAAGGCCTCTGATCCACCACTGCCGCGTGGTGGGGACACGCGCGCCACTACCTGCAGCTTCAGTTTGGCTCCCAAGGCTCCCACCTTGGTGGGAAGCCGCAGCGAGGCCCGGGAGACAGGCTGTACTAGCCGACGACGCCCCAGCGCGCCCAGGGCACCCACCTATCTCCTCCCCTAGCGAGGAGTTTAGGATGGCGCCGGCCGACGTGACTACGGCGCAGCTGTGCAGGCCGCGCGTGAGCAGGCGGCGCAGGGGCACGGCGGGCACCAGCTCGCGCCAGCCAAGCGCCGCAAAGGGTGGCTCGCGGCCGTCCAGCGTGCGCACGCGCACTCGGTGCCGCAGTGCGCACATCAGCTGGGCGTGGCTCCGCCCTGGCGTGCGCCGCCCGCGGAAGCGCACGCCGTGCTTGTTGGCGCTCACGTAGTCGCGCATGGCTTTCTGCAGGCGCGGGGCCAGCATCCTGGAGGACACGTCGCCGCTCCAGAGCCGCTGCAGGAAGGCCCTGGACATGGGGGAGTACAGCTGCTCCGCGTCATTGCCGTCCTCGGGCACGCGGCGCCTGCCCTGCTTCTGCGACCTTCGGCTCGTCTGCCCACGCCGGGCCTGCTTGGCCAGCCAAGCACCCTCCTGAGAGCCGGCCTTCCCCGGGGGAGGGGCTGCCCATGTGCGCTGAGTGTGGCTCTGCGACCCAGGCTGACCAGCAGCGAAAAAGTAGTCATCCTCCTCCGGGTAGAAAGCACTTTGCGATTTTCTTCCGATCTGGGCTGCAAAAAACTCGTCTTCATCTTCAAGCCCGTCTTGCACCAGGGCCCACTTCTGCAGGGCACCCGGCTCAGCGGGAAAGGGGCCGGACGCGGGCAGCCCCCTGTTCGCGCCACCACTGTCGGGCGGGGAGGGCTCCTGCAGGGCACCCATGATGGCTCGCTGTTTGCCCTGCACTGGCAGGAGCCTCCGCGTCTCAAGGAAGGAGAAGGAGCTGGGCACAGGCTCAGCAGGGTTGCTGTCTGTGAAGTAAACGAAAATCACCACAAAGAGGAGTCCCCAGGCAAATATTCCGCAAAGCATTCCCTGTCTCCATTGCTTCAAGTGTGGTTTCATGGCAGGTCTGTGGGGCCGCCACCCTGTGTCCCAGAGCGGTGGGAGGTGGAACCTGAAAAACATCCAGGTCTACAGTTAGCAACGTGGGACACTTGCACAGACACTGTTGGGAACAGTCTATCTTGGGGAGGGTTAGGAGAAGTGTCACGTCAGAAACCGAGATCATCTGGGACATTTGGTTAAATTCAAGTGTCATGTCCCCTACCCCCGAACTCTGCAGACAAGGGATCCTGCCATTCCTGCTGAGATTCTGGGGAGAGAAGAGTTGAAGTGGGTGTACATTTGGAAAACCTCTGGAGGTAACTCAGTAACAGCTGCCTAACGGGGTCCCAGGCCAACCACTTCTCCCTAACTTGGGTTTACAGACTTCTGGTTTGGTAAAGCAGGACAGTAAAGCGGTCATGCTGCCTTTTACCTGCATATCAGGGCACCAAAGCTCAAAGCTCATACTGCACAGCAGCGCTGTTCTGCATTTCTAAGGAGTGACAACCACACACGACTCCTCATGGCATCCCGTGGAACATACCCAAAGTCCCCCTGTGCTCTTACATAAGCAATGCTTTGGTGACTGTGGCTGTGGGAAGACAGGGTGCCAGGCCATCTGTAGACTTCAACAATGTCCTCACATTGTGCCCTTCTACCTCACCTTCACAAGTCTCTGATGGAGTAAGAGGGAAATAATGCTAACATTTTAAATAAGGGAGGATGAGGAGAGAGCTTGCTGCATCAAGATGAGCCTCCATAGAGAAAGGGTGAAAAGGGCAGATGAAAAGTGTAAGATAAAATAGAAGGAAACTCCACACAGTATTGTAACCCTGCGTTTATTGCTACACTGCTACTGTGGGCAGCACAGTGCTTGGTACTAAGAGAAACAATAAAACATAAAGGAAATGCATGTATAACCATAAAAAATGTAGGCAAAGCCCCAGAAAGGGGGGAATATACGGAATATTGTGCAATAATAATTGAGCTTGCTGGAGCTTAAGGCTGAGCACAGCACCCAGCATGGGCGAATGTTGAGTAAAGATTGGCTGAAAGAATGGCATGAGGCTGTGTGTCTGCAGGTGTGTGCTTCTGTGGGCTTGGGTGATGGGCTTGTAAGAAGTAGGGAGGCCATTTCGGGATAACTGGAAAGCTACACCCTTGCTGCCGTGGGGAGGCCTTGAGAGACATTTGGAGTCTGGACCACACACTTGGTGGGAAAGGTTGTGGGGTGAAGTTTCCTAAGCAAGCGAATAGCCCTGGTTGTGTGGGCTCTCAGATTTCTTTGTAGCAGGTAAGGTGGGGCAGGAAGAGTGTAGGGATAGCAACTGGGGTAAGATGAGGTCATTAGTAAATCAGACGCTCAGAAAGTAGAGTCTGATGGGAGGAGCTCACAGGAGAAAGCCCTTCTCTAGCATAGACTGACCGCTTCTAAAACTCAGAGGCACGTGAAGCATAGACATAATGCAGCAGGTGAGCTTTTACTCAGGTAAGAATTGAAATCAAAGGGAATGATTCCTGCATCAGCATTGTCACCTTGGGATGCTATCCACCATTTGTGGTGGAAAAAATATACGCTAGAGTAAGAAAACCAAGTTTGCTGTGTGACTCTGTAGCTGATTATAGATGAATACCTGTTTCTTTCACCCTCTTTGCCCAAAGAGGTAGGGTCTCTGTCTCCCCTTGAAGAGGGGTGGCCTCTGTGACTGCTTTCATCAGCTGCCCCAGCTTCTACTTCCTCCCTCTTAAAACCCTCTGGGGGAAGCCAATCACCAATAGGATGTGTCTCTAACCTGGTCCACCATGCAATACAGAGCCCTAACCATGGGATAAGGCCACATGGACTGAAAGACACCCAGCCAACCCAGAACTGTTCCAGCTGCACAGCCTGGGTGTCAAACTTAAAGAGTGAAGTCATCTTGGATGTCAGCCCAGGTGAGCTTTCAGATGACTTCAGCCCTGGCCAACCTCTGAATGCAACCATGGAAGACCCCAGGTGAGAACCCAGGCGAGCTCAGTCAGCCCACAGAACCATCAGCGATGATGACGACTGCTGGTCTAAGCCACTGAGTTCTGAGCTGACTTTTGCCAGAATGGATCATTAGGACAGGCACTGGAAATGCCAAGTTAGAGGGGCCCCAAACCTCTCCTACCAACAACGGTGGCATCCTGGGTATGAGAGCTAGCCTCTCAGAGGGATTACATAAAAAGCAGTGTTCATTTAAATGTGTAAGTTGTGGCTTTTCAAACAGTGTTTGTTTGCCTCATATTCACATGAAAGTAAGGCTATATCTCTCATTTATAGTCATAAACACACATATTCAGAATATGCTTCACCAAGCCAGAAACAATGATGTCAAGAATGAATATAGAATAAATCATACCAACAATTAACTTGCTATGTGCCAGACTCTGTGTTTAGTGCTCTGCCCAGATTACCACATTTGGTCTTCCCCACACGTGGTAAGGTAGGAAATACTGCTATTTCCATTTTATAGATGAAGTTGAGAGGTCACATAACTTGCCTAAAGCCACAGAGGGCAAGCAGCAGACATAGTACACAAACCCATGTGCTTGACACTTTTAAAACTAAGTTCTGATTCCATCTGATCATACCAACTGAAGCAATATATTCTAAACAAGGCTTCCTACTCTGTGTGAAGAATCATTTTTGTCTCCAAATTGTCACAATCTGATACTTCTATATATTTCCATTCTTTAATGTCTTGGCAATGCACAATTGCTGGAAAAGTTTCTAAATGCTTACTATCAAATGCTGTACATACTTCATCAGAAATGTAATAAACAGTTTGCAGACCACACTTTGAGAAGAAATCTGCCAAATCGTCTTTCTAAACCTGTCCACTCAGGAGACAGTTCTTCAAACTATAATGCCCAACCTGGAGATCTAGAAGCTGTTTCCACTATTCCAACATGTTTATTAGAAATCAGAAAATTACCCATAATAACAGTAATTCTGCCTCCACCCCAACTGAGTGCATTGCAATACCATTCTGACACTAACCACTGGAGCTCATACTGCCCCCATGAGTTAAGGACTCAGTCCCAGAAGACTGTCCCCAAGTCAGATGCCAGCCTTAAATGGGGTCCCCAGGCCACCTGCAGCTCTGACCATTTGGCCACCAATCTGGGAGGCTCCCACGATGCCCCTCACATTCATAATTTGCCAGAATGATTGACAGAACTATGGATAGCACTATACTAATGACTTACATGTATTTTTGGAAAGAATACATGTTGTTTGAGGTTTGGTGGGGGACCATAAATGCAGAGTCCATGACCTCTCCCCATGGTGTCAGAGAACATCACCCGCTTGGGACACCAAAATTCAAAGTTTTTACTGGGGTTTTGTTAGGTAGGCATGATTGATTCAGTCACTGATTCAGTCGAGTGATAGAATTCAATCTCTAGTCTCTCTCCTTTCCAGAGGGCAAGGCGTCCCAAAGTCCCCCACCTTCAAATCCTAGCTGATCTTGTTGGTGACCAGCTAACACACTATCTAGGGGCCCACCAAGGGTCACCTCACTAGCTTATCAAAGACCCTCCTGTCATGGGAAATTCCCAGGGTTTTAGCTCCCCATGCTGGGACCCCAGGACAAAAACCAGATAAATCACTGTACTGCAGGCTGTAACATCAGCTCCTTTAAAAGGCAGTCTTTCCAACAACATGGATGGAGCTGGAGGATATGCTCAGTGAAATAAGTCAGGAGGAGAAAGACACTTGCCAAATGATTTCCCTCATCTGTGGAGTATAACAACAAAGCAAAACTGAAGGAACAAAACAGCAGCAGACTCAGAGACTCCAAGAAGGGACTAACAGTTACCAAAGGGGAGGGGTGGGGAAGAGCAGGTAGGGAGGGAGGGAGGGAGAAGGGGATTGAGGGGTATTATGTTTAGTACACATGGTGTGAGGGGTCACGGGGAAAAACAGTGTAGCACAGAGAAGGCAGATAGTGAATCTGTAGCTGCAATGGGGTATGGGTGGGGACTTGAAAATATGGGTAAATGTATTAATCACATTGCTTTTTCATGTGAAACCTTCATAAGAGTGTATATCAATAATATCTTAATAAAAAATAGTACATGGCACATAGTTGGTGCTCCATTAAAAAAAAAGGCAGTCTTTCTGCCTCTGGCTGGAAACCTCCTTATCTGGTAGCCCTGCCCTGAGCAGCAGCTTTGGGCTTACCAGGTGGGTTCCTCAGGAACACAAAACAAAGGCTTATTTCAGCATTTGCTTGAGACTATTTTTAAAATACAAAGTCAAAAGCTGGGGTGTGTGCCTATACAGAATTTTATTGTTGTTAACAACCATTTGATCAATAAATATGAGAGATGCCCTCTCAAAAAAAAAATTTGTTTTACAGAACAAAAAAAAAAAAGAAAAAAAGCTGGGTGTGTGCATGCAGCTGTGGTAAGTGAAATTCAAAAAGGTAGTCTTGATCTTGTTGGGAAGGAACTGGAATCCTCCAGCCCCAGGGCTGCAGCTGGGGCAGCACCCCCATGCCAGAGGACCCTTAGCTGCCTTGGTTCATCAGGTCAGGAAGCTGCGGGACCTGGAGCTGAGAAGGTGAACCCACTAAGTCCCATGGCAGGATTCAGGCAGCAGACATGCAAGCTTCATTATTCAGAAATGCCTAGCTCCCATCTGAAGACATGCGAGCCTACCTTTTCATGGGGAGATTCAGACATGACAGCAGTTGAGAACAGTAAGAGGAAGTCTGGGGACACAACAAAAGTAAAGGAGAGCCTAGTGGGATGGAGAGGGCTGCTGCGGCCAAGACCCTGGGAAAGGTTTTGTTCTCTCCCCACTCTGCTGAGAAGTAGGGTGGGATTTGTGAAGCCCCCTGAGCACCATGAAAGCACCAAGTATCACAAAACAAAGGATGGTGGCTTCTCATTAGGCAGGACTTCTGTGGCTCCTGGCACACGGTAGTAATCAAAGGACTGGGACCACTCCTCAACTCTGACCAGGCTACAACTTGTAATATTCCAGAAACCTTCCTTGCAACCTCAGTCCTGCAAACCTGCTGCTGACAATTAAGGAAA